AACGGTTATGCCCGATGTTGCTACTGTTGCTTTGAAAACGACGCCAAATGCACCATAACCTATGCATTGACTGTTGACTAAAGCATCATAAGGATAGAATCGAATGTATTCGCTTTCAAGACTCTTTTCTAGCCAATCCTTGTCAGCGACGATTAATGTCATGGTTGTTATTAGAGTCTTCATGACATATCGACTGTGTCACATACATTAGTATTCACATGCACAGCCCAGCATGTGATGTGTCACATTAGTTTTGCGTGACATGTTTGCTACTAAGTCGTTGTGCTCAGTCAAACACTTAGATTCTGTAATAGTAACTGTTTTCTTAAGGCTAATGTGCACGGTTGAATGATATTTTGATACGTAAGGTTTTATTTGTATTGGCAAGGCGCTCGCGTCGGAGATTTTTGATAAAACTTAGTTTTGCTGACCTATCAAATTGAGCAAATAGATTTTTGAGATATGAGCGAAAGAAATCGTCCTCTAAATTTTCCTGAAGTTGATACTTCTGTTTGCGTAAATTCGCATAAAGTGTAATTTGAGATTATTTTGTTTTAGATTTTGACGACGGTGTGATATATTAAGATAATCAAAGTGCACGGGGTGGGTTGAAAAATTTTGATCGCGTGACCTTATTTCACATAATAATTTGTAAACAAATTACACAAACTTTTGAATAGTTTTAGCTGAACTTTTATAACCATTTTTATGTTGATATAATTCTCTTTGGATTTTCTCAACATTGTGTGAAATTGCCACTTACATAATTAATTACTATGACTTTTTTCGCCTGCATTTTTTAACTTAAAACTACGGCAAACAAATCTATATTGTAAGGAGAATGAGAATTTGCTCTGTGTAAAGTTTATAACTGAGCGATACTTATTGACATTTTACTATTGTGATTAGCATATTATTTTTTCGTTCTTGATTTTGAATTAAGGTTTGTACTTGTACTGACAATTTTTTTTAGCGTCTAATAAATATTCATGTTTTAAATCGAGAAAACAAAACTAAAATAATTTAAATTAAGAAAACAAGTATATTTACGTAACGCTCTTGATATAGTTGTAGGCTGTTCAATCTATTCTCACAGGTAGAGAAGTATCAGGATTAGATTATGTCTGCGTGTCGACATTAAGCGTTAAAGCCATTTATTGTTTAATATACTTAACAACCGATTAGGAATATACACTCGAGCGTAGCTAAATTTCTAAAGTCAATTAATTATTTGATGACTCAACATTTGACACTGAAGATTTGAGTCGAATTATTTGATATATTTATTTGATAGGAACGGTTGTGTTTCATTTATCGATAGATTTATTTTATTTAGAAAACTTTAACTATTAAGTCATTTAGACGACGGATAAATCATATATCTTTTTAATAATACAAAAAAATTCGGTTTTAAACATTTCGGACTTAGATTTGGTAAAGCTGCGAAACAACTCCTTTATATCGTATATCAGAAATTACTTAATATTAGGTCGCTGCCCACCCTTTGTTAAACGTTTTTGAGGAATGTCCAACTATGTCAGTAGCCTGTTCTTTGGCTCTCTGGCTTTCAGCTCTAGACTATACTCTAAGTTTTCTATCTTTTAAAAATCTATAATATTTTCTCAAGCAGTCGCAAACTTCTGCAGCTGTCTCTCCAGTCATAAACTGCTTTTTTTTTAACCGTGCCGTTATTAGAAGACTCAAGCGTAGTTTTTAAACTTTTAATGCAGTTACTGATACCTAGATAGGGCTACTCTTGTGCTGTTATTCACTTATATTTGATAATCACCAAAGTAAATAAAAGAAATTGCATTCCGTTACTAATTTGAGATGACAATTTGCAAATAACACACAAGGTCTCTATAACGTTACAAGCGCATATTGACTAACTATAATGGCCATTAACAACAACGCCGTTAATAGCGCCCATTAACGATAAGAATTATTAACACCAAGAGTGTTAAACCGTATAATTATTACAACCAGGGGCACGTGTGTGAATCAATGGACATTATCTATTCCGTTACGTGTACAGAGTGTATTTATTATTATCGCTAAGTTCGAATATCGAAACCACGTCAAATTGTGATAATGTATTAGGGAGAGTGTGCGTTTAAAGGTGTACATATGTTCATTCAATATTAATGTTAAATTAATATCCAACGTATTAAATACATGTTATTTCCAAATCAGAGCGTTGTGTTTGTGATTTTTGTCTATACAGGAAATGCCAAACTACATGCATGTTGAACATAATTATTGCAAAGCTGTGAGACAATAACAAAGACATTGTTCGAATGTTACGCAGCAAACCATTTTCTTAAAGTTTCAGTGAAAAAGGAAATATGTAACCTGTCGCGAAATTTCGGATTACATAACAAAGTTACACCTGCGAAATTTTGATGGTGATCATAATTTTTCGCTATAATAGTTCTTATATTTCGTATTCGAAACAGGGGGCGCTTGTGGTGCTTTTTTAATTTAATTCAAAAATAATTGGGGTAGAATAATTTTCTTCCAATAAGGAACATAGAACCAAATTACAGGCTAACCATAAAGTTAAATATGTGACAATCGAATGTTTTGGAATCTAATATTTAAACCAGGGGTTTGTTTCCCAAAACACTAATTCATACCTACAAATAACCACAATGAAAACTCCATCGTCGTTAATACTGATAGTTGCAATTTTATGTAATTTCACTTTTGCGACAGCATCTTTAAAACGAGAAACAGACGGATTATTTGATGCGCTTCAGGGCGGAACGTTCTCAACAAACTCATCCTTGTTAGACACGGCTAGTTGCGATTTTGGATATTTCCCATGCCCAGGAAGCAGTTTGTGTTGTTCTAAACAATGCGGCACAGTTTGCGATAGTAGTCACTGTTGTCCGTCAGGCTACCAATGTTGTGCAGACGGTTATTGTTGTATGATGGGCCAAGTTTGCGCTGGTTCCGGTCTTTGCAGAGAAATGTTGGAACCGTCGACATTGACACCAACACCATCAACGCCAATACCATCAGAGTTAATACAATCAATATCAATACCATCAATATCGATTCCATCAATATCAATATCAATCCCATCGATATCAATCCCATCGATATCAATCCCATCGATATCAATTCCATCAATCCCATCGATATCAATACCATCAATCCCATCGATATCAATACCATCAATATCAATCCCATCAATATCAATATCAATCCCATCAATATCGATTCCATCAATATCGATATCAATCCCATCAATCTCGATCCCATCAATACCAACACCAACACCAACGGCGCCGTTGCCAGGAACAGACTCTTTAAGAAGCCCTTTTAAAGAATTACATAACATAATTGTCGATATTGATTATCGAGAAATTGCCCTAAGCGCAGATAAGGATACTACCTTTACATACAAATATAATCCCAATGGAGGTACAATAACCCAAATTCTCTTGAGAAACGCCACAATAACTAGCGACGATGAAGCTGACCATGTTTTCGAGGCGCAAATTCTTCCGAGGTACCTTCAAGAATCGGGAGAAACTGGTCACAAAATATGTGTCTATATATTAGGATCTAATGAACTTGTTAGTGAGATCCAAACTACTATTAACAGTAATGATAATCTGCGATTCCTCACCCAGATGATTAATAATGCCAAAGGGAAAATATTTGGTGACGAAAATACATCAGATCCATATCACGATGCAGTCAAAGATTATCTAGCGATGGATGATGTCTACAACGCCTTTGCCGTAACCCGTACCTCAATGATTGACGTTTTGTATAAAGCTGCAAGCAACGCAACCAGCATGCACAAACGCGCAAATGAAAACATTGTAACTTCGTTTGAAAAATATTCGCGCACGATATATAAAAATTTGACAACGAAGAAATTACCCGGGTCTGATTCCACTATCTTATCGTTGTCATACCTTCCTGTAGTCTTATCCATAAGTCTAAGTTTCGTGCTTTTAGTTTTTGAATAGTCAAGAGATATAATTTACATAACTCATGAAGTTAAAAAGTTTACTAGACAAAGTAAAAATGGGTGCTGTGGTGGCTACTTAGACAGCTTTTATAAATTATGGTGATGTTTTTGACAATGGTTTGCGTCCAATGTAGAAGTAGTCTATTATATTTACAAACAATTTGAGGAGGCAAAGATTGTTATGTGGCGGCGGAGTGGAAACATTGTCTTTATTAAAAATTGCATTATAATTGTCATATAACTTTTATGTTTTTGCTGTCAGCTCATAATTTTTTTCTTGTTACCGTATTTCTGCCTTTGTAATCATTCTATTATATGTTATACTGGTACGGGATATCGTAGTAGCAGTCTATTAATGGAAATTAAACAAACTACTTACATTTTTATTCTTTTGGGGAAAAAATGTATTATTACTAAGTTTTAAATTGCATTAGACTCGTTTGTTTTATTTAATTTGCTTAATCATATACAATATATTACTTTGCTTTATAATTTACTAACTGATTAAACAATTAAATTTACTACAGTTTATTTAAAAATTGATAACTGAAAATACCAACATTTCTACCGGTCTATATAATGTCCCATTCTCCAAGATCGAAGAGAGAGAGCGACACAATGAACTGGATAGTGAATTGCGAATAGCAAAATGCACCTAAGATTAAGTTATGCTCGCGCCGCTCTGGGACGTATATACTCAGTGAGTTTATTTGTTTCGACTAAAATCGTATGCTACATGTAATACTCGCTCAGAGAAACAAGAAAATTGAACTCATTAGAAGTTAAGCTTGATATAAAACCAGCAATTACAAAACTCGATCGAACATTATATAATTCCTGTATTTGATATTGTGGAAGTATCTGTTAGACTTTAGAATAATATATTAATTCAAAATGTGATAATACAGTAATAGTCTTTAATTGACTAAAAGCTCTATGTAAAAATAACAGTAAATTGGGGTGGGACTATATTGTTGAGATTGTGAAAAAATCTAAAGTTGAATACAGCTGGACTAATAAAGCTCAGTTTTATGACAATAAAAAAAGGGCATAAATATTTACTGTAAATATAACTTCATGTTAGGTTTAAAAAAAAATAAGAAAAAAAGGACTTTATCTGTGAATAGGACTAAAGAATGATTAGATATTGGCTTACTATTACAGCCAAGCGATGCCGATTATGCCCAATAATTAAGGGATACTAAAAAAAATTAATACCCAAGGATGCTGTATAGAGACAATGTTAATAGTTACGATTACAATATCTTATTTATCTACTTGAACAAGTTTTGGATTACGCCGAGATAACCATCCATCAAGAAGAAGACAGTAATTTGTTAAAAAATTTTGACGTAAAAATACTTTTTTCTTTATGAATTTAGTGCCTTACCTTTTTTTTGACGCAACTCAACCTGAAGTTGTCAAACACAAATGATTATACTGCATTTCATTTATTAAAAAGATAGAAAGTAAATAACCATTTTAGTATCAACCGCCTCAAACACCAAAATATCTTTCAATAATATTTGTTCGTTTGCAGTACTAGGAATATATGCATTGATATTATTTGTCCAAAAACCAACATATATTTTCAGTGTACTAAAACATAAAATTATAATAACTTATATCTCTCTCATACCAATATAACCAAAAAGTTTTCTATAGTTAACTAAAGCATAAAGCCAAATGCGTGATAAAAAAACTAGAATATCTATATAAGCATAAAGCACCACCGATAAAATTTAAAAGACAAATTTGTCGTTAAAATAATTAGGTAACAATAAATTAGAAAAAGTAGAGATCAAAATCGTCTAATTTAAAAAAGTATTACTTCCGTAATACTTAAGTATCCAAAATTGTCCAGGAATAAAAAAGTCACACATTATTTCGATGTCGGTTGATTGCAATTACATTAATACACAATATTTTTCAAGCCAAACAAACACATTAACTTGCCAAGATTAGTATTGGGCTGAATAATCAGTAAAAACAACAATCACTTTCATCAGTAGTTTAAAAAGTTTAAAAATATGCACATATTAATATTAACATTATATGATAAAAAATGTTCTGTGTAAATATACGAGTTCGCGTCTAATGCAACTCAAAGTTTTACTGAATTTTTTAATACTGCGGTATTCGAAAGTAGTTACAAAAACAATTTTCTTCCGAGCTGATTTACTTCATGCTCACAGAATTCATGTGAGGTTCTAATTCTTGAAATGTCTAATAAAATGAAATAAACATGATTACTTTTCATAAAGTAACGACCATATCTTATATTATCGTATGTCATGCATTTTATCCAAACCATTATAATCATACAAAGCATTGTCATTTTAATTTAAACAGCAATCGAATGAGTTAAGCAAAAGCAGTCAGAAATATAAGATTTATAACGTCAGATACGACAAGCAGGTTTATTCTCTAGAACAAGCTAGTCTGTTGTAATCTCTGATAAAAGATTGAATTAGAAAAGGGCTATTTAAGCGATTCTCGATAGTTGGTCCATAGAAGTTAGAACTAAGTGTCCCCTCAAAATTTGGTAATGTTTCGGGATATTTTATTTTATCTGCCGCGTTTGAAAAGTAAATTACTCAATATAAATATCAATAACCGAAACGCGAAATAAACACAATTCAAAATTGTACAATTACATTATAGTCAACAATCGATGCTATATAGAAAAGTCAGGCAACGGTTTTTTAGTTGCTCGTCTGATGTTACAGTATGTCTTGTCGTTACTAATAAAACCATGCATTAACTAAGTGAAGTTGATTTCACTGTATTATAATCATGTGGAAAACAAAAATTAATGAGAGTAAATACAGAATAAAAGAAATTACGCTTTCCTTGTTATTCGGGGCTTAAATAATTTTGTAGTTATAGTATATGTAGCATCTGATCTACCAAACAATCATTAGTTTTGGCATCAGCAGAGCAGCAATTTATTATGCTAAAAGTTCTGCGTTTTGTCAGCAAATATGATAAACATACTTATTGATTGATAATTATATGGCTTAAAGATCAATAATCGGCAAAAAATCTACAGACAAAACAGGCCCTATGCAGAGCGTCACGTAACTTTGAACAACAGTGGCTGCAGTTCTATGTTGGTGTATTTACTCAGTTATTTGTCAGCGAATCAAAATTCGGTTTAAATATGGACCGAAACCAGTCTAAGGGATAAGACTAGTTAGTTTTCTCGGTCAGAAGTTAGGAATGAGCAAATGTTTTGTCGCACGGTTAATACAAACACAAACGGAGCAATTCGTTACATATATAGTTGGAACACCTGTGTATGGCAAGTTTGTTAAACCTGCATCACATCATGCTTGCTTGTATTTTAGTCACAAAAGTGGCTATCGCGTTTAAATATTATTCAATGTCCAAATGAAAGCAATCCAATCAAGATAAAGTGTAAGCACGATAGTCTTGCTTCATTGACCGACTGCATTGTTTCATTGAGATTGAGTATGAAAGCAACATTAGGAAGCATACATCATCCGGCTGGTGCAGAGATTGAAAATTGCTCAGCGAACGTAGCCATGCATTTTATTCAGTGTCATGTAATTTAACTAATATATTCTATATTTTCTTACAAATTCAAATGGGCTACTCTGGCAAAGATTGCAAACAGTAAACGTACTCGATTTCGGTATTTTTAACCTAACCATATTGACGCACCTGAAAGGACATTGTATTTAAGTTATTTGATTCAAAGAGGAATAACCCTCGAATAACTATTCAGAGCGCTTGAGTCACTAAAACGTAAGCAACGGACGATGCTATTATGTAAATTGACTTCATTTATAACCAATTGTTGACAACATAAACGTACTGTACCTGCAGCTGAATCCAACTTATAACTGTTTTTCGGTTCAGGCAGATCTCCGGTAGGTAAGAATTTAATAGAATATTTACTCTCCTTCTCGAAACGTGATAAGGGTTTTACATCATTATGATAGACGGCATCCCATGTATTGTCTTCGCGCGCTCTCTCAATAAGCGTGCCAATGTCACTATCAAGTTTATATACATCTGGGCGCTTACCAGGATCAAAATCACTCATACCTCCATGACTTATAATAAATGAATCCAAGGACTTGTTGCCAATTGTCTAATTTCGTAGTCTTGGCGTTCCACATTGATAACAGAAAAGGTTTATCTTGGAGCTTAATGAAATCTGTACATGCCAGACATAATCCATGTTCATTCCATTCTTTCATTAGACTGTACTTTTCTTTCTTTGTGGTAAATCCGATAGTAATCCAAACATCCGGGGTCAAGCATATTTGAATGCTTATCACATAGCTAGTGAAATGATACATAATATAAATAATAAGCCAATACTTACT